TAATGTTTCAGGTTGCTGGGGGGCAAGATGGATTTTTACGCATCTACAGCCAGGCTGGGAACCATGGGCATTATAGTCCTGAGTCATCTGGAGGACAGATGTTGACCTTTGCAACGTCGACTTGGCTCTCCTAACTGGAAACCTCATTTCTGACTGATGATATCATCAGTGAACGCTTCCAGTTTTGGCTCAGCCTCTCCTCGGCCGGTGAAGGGTCTGCATTAATTCTCTTTGAGGCTTTGAGCTTGTGTGGACGGTATTTGAGAGCAAGGGAGCCCACCAAAGCGAGCCGCTGCTCCATTTGAGAAGCAGAAAAAGTCCACCCCTCGACTGGCACTTTGGCCCATTGAAAGAGCAGATGGCTCCGTCGATCCCTCTGTTTCTGTTTGCAGTGGGGCGGAAAGGAGGGCCGTGGGGTTTCATAGGTTAGGAGCAGGAGGAACAAGCGTGCCTGAAGATTTTTACCCATTTAAACATTTACAAAAGGGCAATCGATCACTGAAAGCTTTATTATAGTCACAAACCAGCTTAAGATGGAGCTCATTGATGGATAAAGAGTTGTGAACTATCCTAGGACCGATTTGCTCTCTCTTTGCAGCAAAGTTTCCTCCCCCCCCCCCGTCTCCTCGCTCGCTTGCAATAGCTCGCTTGCATAGCGTCTGCAACGCTATGAAGGCTGATCATGCAAACTTGGCCTGGCTGAATTTTTCTTGGCAGTAGAGCCGCGCCTTGTTTCTCCCTCCGCTGTCGTTCCGCTTAAGGGAAAACATCATCCGGGATGAGCGTATTCCTTTTTGCACGAGGCTGCGGAAAAACAGCATCAGCAAAACTCGAGGGGATCGGGGAGAAGGAAGGGGGGTTCGAGAGGGGTCACGTGTAGACGGGACTGGAAAGCAGTTCAGACGTTCAGGGGCGGCAGGGAGCTGAGCGTAGCTGCAGGAGTGAAGGCTGGCTTCGCCTCTTCCTGTTTCATCCACTTTTTTAAAAGCATCACCTTTGGATATGGGGTGGGAGATGGGGGATGGACAGATCCTGAGTTGGGGGGAGCATCTTGGGGGCCAGAATCCCTAAAGCCAAACCCTAGTTCCACCATGTTGCAACAGGCCACCGTTTTGACACGGCGAGCCTTCCTTCTTTTATAAAAGGGGGAAAGAGCTCTGCTTTCTGCAAGGGTGAAGGTTGTTGGAACACAACACCCTTCCTTCTCTGCATCCTGCCTGTGCTGGCTCGAGGCGATGGGAGTTGGAGTCCGCGGCAACATCGGGAGCCTTAGGTGGAAAAAGGCTGTTGGGAAAGAGGGGAAGGGTGAGACGGGCGGCTGTAGAAACCAAATCGATTAAAAATGAATAAATGTTCCCCAGCTCAGGAATGAGTTGCTCTTCCATCCGCAGGAAGCCCGGCGTTCTGTAGCTCTGGATCTCCCCCATCCCCAAAATTTGAAACTCCCTGAGACGATCGAACGAGGCTCCCTGCTGCTTGAAAGAGTGACAGTTGGATAGGGTAAACTGTTAAGTTTCCAGCTTGTAAGGCTCCCAGCCAAGCCATTTGGTCTTCCCTCCAGACAGGATGGAAAAGCGATTTGCGTGCAGAGCAGGCTAAACCGGAGCCCGTCCTCTCGGTGACAGTCAGAGCTTTTCCGTCCGACTCGTGCTCCCAACCCCATCTTCATCTGGTTCTTGACTGGCTCTGGGTTTGCTAAACCTTGATAATGTCTTTCCAAAAAGCAAAAGAGGTGGGGTGGGTGGGAAAGGGCTAAAAATCTAGCTGGCCTCAGGCCAAGCACGTAGCTCTGCATGGTTTTTGCAGGCTGCCTCTGATGATAAGTTTGATCTTCGTCGCTGGGGGGGAAGGGGAAGGAGAGCTGCTGACAAACAGCAAAGCCCTGTTGATTGTAAAGGATTTTTGGAGCCGGGTGACAGGATCAGAAGATTCCACTTGCGTCGTCTCAGAGTGCGAGAGGGCCAGAAGCGTGCCGTGATGTGGAAGGAACCTTACTGTTTAGAAATATTTCCCTTTCTCTTGGGCGTGCAAGTTTCCTGGCCTTAGGATATCTGAGTGCAAAAGAGCGAGTTGAATCTTCTCCGCAGGGTCAATTGCAGGAAAGGTTTGACCTGCAGTGCTGGTGACGGCATAAGCTGACCCATCAACCGGCAGAGAGAGTAACCTTTCTACAATACGTGTAGCCAGATTGGCTTCCGAGCCTGACAGCTACGGTTGCACAGTGCCCAAAGCTGATGGGCATTAACCTTCGTCCGGGCACGCTGGCTTGCTTCTCGCATTTGGTTGGTTGGCTTCTTGAGGAGAGCTGTTGTCTCAGCAGCAAGCAGGCCCCTTTTTCAGATCCAGCGACACAAGTACCGGTTCTCTGTCCGAGGTCCTGAAGCTTCGGGACCACGTCTTCAGCGGTCTCATTTTCTTGGACCCGGCTCTTCCCGCAAAAGTCACTGCTTCAATTCAGATCCCTAAATTGGGGGGTGTGGAGTTAGGGTTGAGCAAGTCTAGCGTAGACCCCATTCATCCTGGATTGTCTCCTTCGTGGCACAAATCCAGCAGGAGAATCAGTGGGCATTTCAACACCTTGTGCGCAATCAACACTTACTTATGCTCAACCGTCAACTCGTGGATGTTCAGCGCCGGCTAAAAATCTGGCAGCTAAATAAATGAATGTTGTGTGAACCTGACTCGGGGGCAGGGGAGAGAAAAGCACTCTATACATGCTTGGAGGTGCACAGCATTTGTGTCCGCAGAGGTCTTACATTCGGAGCTCTTACAGGCACTGAATCGTGCCCCCAATTTTTCACATTTCTACAGCAGTCGCTGTTGATAATTCCCTTTCTTTCTCTCTCCCCAGCGAGGATTACAAAAGACATTTCGGCAGCCGCAACCTGCGGGCCTTTTCCGTCCTGCCCTCCCTGGCTTACCCTGCCCATTACGCTGGAGACGCCCAGTGGATGAGCGATACGGAGTTCTCCACCATCTGGGATGACGATTCACGCAAAACCACGTGGAGCGGCTCGCAGAAAACCTTGAAAGATGCCCGCCTTAGCGGGGGCCCGGCCCGCCATTCTTTCCCCGCAGCATCTCGGGATGAGCTGTGACATCTGGCCGGTAAGCCGGAGTGGCGAAACAGCTGGGTGGCAGATGTGAAAACCCACAGGAAGCTGTTGGTTGCGCTTTCCTGGAGAACATTTTATTTCTTTTCTTTTTATTCATCAAATTTGTCACCGCCCGTTTCGTGAAATGACTCTGGGCGGTTTACGACAAGATAAAAATTTATTAAAATACACCAGAAAGACAGTCCTAGAAATAAATAGGTTCCAAGAAGGTGGAAAATTGGCAATTAGTTATTTATTAGATTTATAGCCTGCTTTTTCTTCAGAAGCTTAGGGGAGGGTTTTGTATTAGTTTTATTTATTCATTCATTCATTTATCATATTTATATAGCCGCCCATCTCACACAAGGTGTTGCAGTAGTTTTTTCCTTTGATCGGCGTGGTCCACCTGGGCAATTTTATTCTGGGCAACTCATCAATGCTTTTTTTTTTCTCTTTTCCAGGCGCACCTTCTGCACTCTCATCGTGGGAGAGAAAGGACAGGTTCAGGGATGAAGCCTCCCCCCTTCCCGTTTTTCCCAGGGCACACGGGGTTTGCTTGAACTGTTTGGACGAGAGGGGTGCTCTGTGGGCAGGGCGTGAGCTGAAGATGGGTTGGGCTCGCCCATCTGCCGGGAGATGGTCCCTCGCTGTGCAAGGACAAGGCGCTCAACCGGGCAATCCTGACCAAGTTTCCCTTGATGCAATAAAGATTTCTGTGCAGATTCAATGGGATAGCCACCTTCTGGATCCCTCCCTCTTTTCCAATCTCCTTCCTTCCTTCCTTCCTTCCTTCCTTCCTTCCTTCCTTCCTTCCTTCCTTCCTTCCTTCCT